AAAAAAAAAAAAACTGAGTTCAAGGAGTTTTCTTGATATATTTATAAGGAATCATTAAATAAGGATACAAAATTAAGAGGTTCATATTTTGGTGGATACCCTACCTTGAAGTAGCATGATGGTTCGTATGACATAAGAAAGTTAGTGAGTGTGCGTTGTGGGTATGGTTTTTCTTCCTTTTTTTTTTTTTTCTCTTTTTGAACAGCTAAGTAAATAATTCAAAACCTCTTCTCACCATACCAAGAATTTGAATTTAAGACCTCTAACTTGGAAGTTTCATGGCTAAACCATTTGGTTATCCTTTAGGGATGTTCATGCTAGCATGCACATTTTATACTTTCCTTGATGTGTTTTTTCCTCTTTTGTTTTTTTTTTTTTTGTAAAGGAAAGAAAATTTGGCCATGGGATAGGATTTGACATTGAAGATGATGATCTTCTTAAGATGGAGCAGTGCAATGGAGTGGTTGTTGGATCACCTATTTTTGGTATTGAATTTGTAAACTGTTTCTTAAATTGATATGTTTAAGATGGGAAAATGCTTATTAAATAATTAAATAAATTCCATTTTATATCAGGTGCTTTTGATAACAAATAACACCCGAGTAACTTTAGTGAATACTCCAAGCAAACTGACTGTTTCTACATGTTTGTTGATGAAGAAACAGAAACAAATCTGAAATGTAATGGTAATCTGGTAAATAGTAAAAAGATTGGAATATAGAGCATTGTTGTTGTGCACAATCTTCCTTACACAGATGGAAGGCAGAATGAAAAGGTGAGTGCTCTTAATTGTAATCAATGTGTTTGTTCAATTTAGGTTATAGTTTTTCTTTGGATTATCAATTATTGATGGGGATGACAAATGTAGTCCACCATATAGGAAGTGAAAGAAGTAAGGGTCAATCTAACATTTTAATCAGAACATACATATTAGAATTAGCATAGACATTACTTTATTTAGATTTGCATGCAATGCAAATGGACTAATATAGTGCTAAAAGTAAAGGCAACTTGAAAGCTGGTTTTACTTAAGATGTTGACATTATGTTCTAGAATAATTGGTATTTCATATTTGAACAAAGTCTCTTAAGCATACGGAAGTCTTAATTTGATATGCCCTTGACTTGAGTTACACTTGTGATAGATTCCAAAACTTCTTCCACATAGGCTACTTCCAAATGCTCACTTTTTTCTTTTTTCTTTTTTATGGATTAATGGTAAATTGGAGCTTGTGGTAGATCCTTATCAAATTCTTGAGAGGTACCTTTTTGTTTTTGGATTTTTTCTTTTCTTGTGGAAATAAATTACTAGTTATTTGTTTAAGTAGGCTACTAGATTAAAAATAAGTATGTATTATCCAAAGGTGACTTTGATAGTGCAATGTCAAAAATGATCACCTTTGTAGAAATAGGACTATGCCTCTTTCTGTGAATTGAAGAGAATGCCTCTTCTGTGCTTCTCTTGATTTAGTTGGTTTTTGGAGTAAATATTTGCTCTTTATAACTCTTCCATGTTTTTTTTTTCCAAGTTTCTTCCATGTGCAAATACATTGGTTTCTTTCTTTAGATTGTTTTGATTTATTTATTTTTATTTTTTAGGTTTAGATACATAGATTTAAGGTCTAGATACATTTTCAATCAAGGGAATAAGGAAAGGGGGAGAAAGAGTGGAGGTGGTGGAAGAGAACTTTGGTAATAAAAGGATAAGCATAATGCTTTTTTTCTTTACTAAAGCAACTATTGTTGTAGATAAAATGTTGACTTGTGATATGTAAAATGAAAAAAAAAAAAACTAATAGATCTCAGATAGACATTGTTCTTTTCTCTTTGTTTGTGTCTAAGCAAGTGTATTGAAGTCCATATAAAACATTTTCATCTGCTCATACCTTTTATATGATTAAACAAATTTATTTCAAAAATGAGAATTTTTTCTT